CTACTACTACTACTACTACTACTACTACTACTACGACTACTACTACTACTACGACGACTACTATTACTACTACTACTACTAATACTGCTACTGCTACTACTACTACTGCTACTACGACTACAACTACTCCTACTACGACTACTACTACTACTACTACTACTACTACTACCACTACTACTGTAATACGACGACTACTACTACGACTACGACTACTACTACTACTACTACTACTACTACTACCACTACTACTACTACTACTACTACTATCACTGCTACTACGACTCCTACTTTAACTGCTACTACCACACTCACAACCACTACTACTACTACTACTACTACTACTACTACTACTACTACTACGACTAGTGCTACTACTATTACTACTATGGCTGCGACTGTTACTACTACTGTCACTGCTACTACTACTACTACTACTACTACTACTACTACTGCTGCTACTACTACTACGACTACTACTACTACTACTACTACTACTACTACTACTACTACAATACTACTACTACTACTACCTAATACTACTTACTAATCTACTACTAGGTTTTATACTACGATTTTTACTTCTGCTACTTACTACTACTACTACTGCTACTACTATCTACTACTACTACTTATACTACTTATACCTAAAAATGAATTAATAATACTACTACTACTTACTAATATTACTACTAGTACTAGTATACTCATACTATACTACTACTACTATACTACTACTACTAATACACCACTTACCACTACTACGATTACTCACTTACTAGTTACTACTACCTAATACTACTTCTTACGACTACTTACTACTACTACTACTACTACTACTATACTGCTTCTCCGTTTTCTTTATTCTTTACTACGACTTATACTACTTAGACTACTACTTACTACGACTACGCTTCAACAACAACAACAACAACAACAACAACAATTACTAGCACGTGGGGACACTCCGTTCTCACCAGTGCCAGGGTTTTCATAGGAGGCGGGCAATACCCCCACTTTGTGGGGGGGCCGGTTCAAGCTCTACCAAATTTCCAAACGACTCTTCGCCACCACCCACACCCAGCTTCCCGCCCTATGACGTTCGGACACTTCACTTCGTGGCATACGGACGACCGTGGCTACTATTCAGGGCCCCGCGGCCGACGACGACGGCGTGCGCGCGCGAAGAAAAAACGAATGTGTCCCGCATGGTATTATTTGACAGGGATGATGGCCCTGGCAGGTGCGCAACCGTTGTTGCAGAAGTTCGAAAAAGTTGCTCGCAAAAGCCCGTTTGACAGAAATGTTTAAAAAGTGTTGGGTTTCCTACGAATCCGCAAGAGCGCGCGGGATGAAATTTTGACAATTTTGTTTGAAAAACCATTGGTTTTTTGATGTTTTTATGTTAAAATCGCTACGAAAACTAAGGTTTTGGAAGGATTTCGTCTTGCGCGCGCGAATGTCCACTTTACCTTATTTTTTGCAAGGGATTCTTGAAGTTTGGTTATGTTAGAACAAGAAATGTCCACTTTAGCTTATTTTTTGCAAGGGAAAACCGATCGTAACAAAACAACCGGATCCGGACCAACCCGTTTTGCCTGAGACTTCCTCACGAAAATGATGAAAATGAGGCTGCGGCCTAGGCGCGGCGGGAGGGTCGTGCACCAGGGGGCCCAACAATAATTATTCTTTAGAAGTAATAATGTTTCAACAACAACTACTACTACTACTACTCTACTACTACTACTACTACTACTAGTACTACGACTGCCACTACTACTACTACTACTACTACTACTACTACTACTACTACTACTATACTACTACTACTACTACTACTACTACTACTACTACTACTACTACTACTACTGCTGCTGCTGCTGCTGCTGCTGCTGCTGCTGCTGCTGCTGCTGCTGTTACCACCACTATTAGCACCACTACGACTACTACGCTGAGTCATACCTCCTCATCCTTTCTCCGATAGGGCGACGGCTGCCACGGACGGAGCGCGATCCAGCAGCTGCACCGCCAAGAAAATGGCCGGAAGTGCGAGGTTGCTGGCCTCCGCACCCGCGGCAAGAAAAGTGCGTCGACTTGCCGCCCTTCACCCTTCTCAATCGTCCCCTCCTCCCCACCATCATCGGAGCCACCACTGTCATCATCTCCCCCATCATAATCGCCATCATCATTTGCAAAATCCATACCACCATAACGAACATCATCTGCATCATGAGCATCACCACCACCATCACTACCACCACCACCACCACCACCACCACCATCATCATCATCATCATCATCATCATCATCATCATTGTCATCATCACCATCAGCATCATCAATCATATCATAATCGGCATTATCGCCACCCCCCTCGTCACCATCATCATCATGATCATCGTCATCATCATCATCATCATCATCATCATCATCATCATCATCATCATCATCATCAGTAGCATCATCATCATCACCATCATCACCATCATCATCACAACTACTATTGTCATCATGAGCATCAGCATCATCATCGTCCTCGTCGCGTTCGTCACCACCACCACAGTCGACCTCACCCACATCCTGATCCTCCTACCGTCCTCTACTTCCTGCGTCTTTTCGGGGCAAAGGAAGTGCGTCTTGACGCCGGCACCTAAGTGCTCTATGGGCGTCCGCCTGGGCGCTGAGAGAAAATCCTGCCGATGGGCTTAAACGCACACACAACACAAACACGCACCTTCGCACACACACACACACACACACACACTTTTTGGCTGGTCCAGACGGACCTGGTGCGGCCCTTGGCATGGGCCGTTGGAGTCGCGAGGCAGCGGCTTGCGGCTTAATCCGTTAGCCGTTTAATATTCAACAATCCGCCAGGCGGGGGGCGAAATTGCCCCTTGTGGGGCCACCAGGCTGTAGGGCGAAATTGCTGTTCCCTGCACCAGTTGCAGTTTCAAGTCTCCAGTGTTACAGTCCTGCTTTCTGCTTCCAACTGTAAACTGTTGAAGTCCGCGTAAAAGGGGGCAGCCCCAAACCCCCCAGTTACCACGCCCGGATCGCGCTCTCTGACTTCCTGAGGGGGGCGTGGGACACGCAAAAATACATGAGATTCGCACCCCCGAGGCCATAATCCTTCCCTTTTGCAAGTGACGCAAGATTCGCGTCCCCGAGGCCACAAACCCTCGTAAATTATACAACTGTGCGTTCCCTAGGCAAAAAACCGCGTGAATTACTCAATTTTCGCGTCTCCGAGTAAACCTTCGCAAATTGAACCATAGTCGCATTGCCGAGGCCAAGAGTGCTCCAAGGCGCCCGAAGATGGTTCCAAGACGGCCCAAGAGGGCCCAAGGAGGCCCCAGGAGCGCTCCAAGAGGCTTCCCGTGAGAGCCCCAAGAGACCAACATTGTAGATGTCACAAAAGTTTTTGATGGATCTGGGCCTTCTCGACGCTCCAAGACCGCTCAAGAAGCTCCCAAAATCGCCCCAAGACAGCCCAAGACGCCTCCAAGAGGGCGCCAAGACGGCCCCAGAGGGTTCCACGATGGCCCAAGACGGCCCAAGAGGGCCCCAAGACGGCGCCAAGAGGGGCCTGCCCAAGCAGGGGACCACGAACCGAACATTCGATATTTGTGCCCCGAGAAGCCCCCAAGAGGCCCCAAGATGCCGCCAAGAGGCCCCAAAAGGCTCCAAGAGGCGCCCAAGACGCGCCAAAGAGGCCTCCAAGAGGCCCAATAAATAACCCACGAGGTCCCAAGAGGCCCCCAAGAGGCGCCCAAACCACCTCCAAGAGGCCCCCGAGAGGCTCCCCACGACACCCCAACGCATATACAAGGGCCTCAGACCCACAACCCATGTACGGTGGCGGGATGGGTCGAAGGCCACTAGGATCCGCCGCCCCCTGCTTGCAGGGGTGCACGGCGTGCTGGATGAGCTGTTAGGTTTTGGTTTTGGTTCTTTTTCCAAAAGAACTCCCCAGTGGGCTCCGGCAGAACCCGCCGGCCACCCGGAAAATCCCCAAACGTGCTCAACGACCGCAAAAAATCCTCCAAAAAACGGCCGTTTCGCTCGGGACATCCTCAAAAAATCGCGAAGATGGCCCAAGATGGCCTCCAAGTCCGCCCGAGATGGTCCAAGACGGCCTCCAAAACGGCCCAAGAGAGTCCAAGACGGCCCAAGACGGCCCAAGAGGCCCCCCAGAGGCCTCCCAGACGGCCCAAGAGGCCTCCAAGAGGTCCTCCAGGAGAGTCCGAAGAGGCCAAAATCATTGATTTTTCCTTGGTTTTTGAAGGATTCTGGCATTTGCGCCTTTTCGGCTCTCCGACGGCTCGAGACGGCCCAAGAAGCCCCCAAGATCGCCCAAGAGGCCCCCAAGAGAGCCCCCATGATGGCCCAAGTGGCCTCCAAGATGGCCCCTAGAGGGCCCCAAGAGGGCCCAAGAGGCCTCCAACACGCCCAAGATGGCCTCCAAGACGCCCAAGATGGCCTCCAAGACGGCCCTGGAGCGCCCCAAGAGGGTCCCCCGTTGGCCCAGAAAGGCCCCCAAAACGGCTCCCGACGGCGTCAGACGTGCCAGGAACCCACCAAGATGGCCGAAGTTGGCTCGAAGCTGGCCCAAAAGGGCCCAAGAGGCCCCCAAGAGGGCCTCCAGGAAGGCCAAAAGATGCCAAAATCACTGATTTTCCCAAGGTTTTTGATGGATTTGGGCATTTCCCTTTTTTCGGCCTTCCGACGGCCCGAGACGGCCCAAGAGCCCCCAAAGATCGCCGAAAGATCGCCCAAGAGGCCTCCAAGACGGCGACGATGACCATCAAGACGCCCACGTGTTCCCCGAAGGCTTTCCAAACCGATTCGGGGAACACATGGTCCGATGGCTTGGCAGGTCTGGCCTCAACGTTCGGCCACATAGGCGCTTCCACAAAGGCAGGGGGCGGCGGTGATTCGCCGTAGGCGTCTTCGATCCGCCGCCCCCTGTCGATTCATGCGTGGCGTGCTGGACCTTCTCGGTTTTGGTTTTGGTTCTTTTTCCAAAAGAACTCCCCCTGGGGCTCCGGCGCGTCCCGCCGGCCACCCAGAAACTGCACAAGTCAATGCCTGTTCCGTCCCAAGATGGCCCAAGATGGTCCCAAGACGGCCAAGATGGCCCATGATGGCCTCCAAGATGTCTCCAAGACGGCCCAAGATGGCCTCCAAGACGGCTAAGATGGCCCCAAGATGCCTCCAAGACGGCTCAAAGTGGCCTCAAGATGGTCTACGACGGCCCAACAGGCCCGCAAGAGGCCTCGAAGACGGCCCAAGAGCCCTCCAAGACGTCCTCCAGAAGGCCCGAAAGGGCCAAAATCATTGATTTTCCATGGGTTTGTGAATGATGTTGGCATTCGCGCCTTTTCTACTTTCCGACGGCCCAAGACGGTCCAAGAGGCCCCCAAGATCGCCCAAGATGCCCCCGAAAGGGCCCCACGACGGCCCAAGTGGCCTCCAAGACGACCCCAAGAGGGCCCCAAGACGGCCCAAGAGGCCTCCAACACGCCCAAGATGGCCTCCAAGACGCCCAAGATGGCCTCCAAGACGGCCCCGAAGCACCCCAAGAGAGCCCCAAGTCGGCCCAGAAAGGCCCCCAAACGGCTCCCGACGGCGTCAGACGTGCCAGGAACCCACCAAGATGGCCGAAGTTGGCTCGAAGCTGGCCCAAGACGGCCCAAGAGGCCCCCAAGAGGGCCTCCAGAAGGCCAGAAGAGGCCCAAAAAATGTTCACGGATTATGACATCTGACGGATTTTGACATTTGCTTCTTTTCGGCCTTCCGACGACCCGAGACGGCCCAAGAGCCCCCGAAGATCGCCGAAAGATCACCCAAGAGGCCTCCAAGATGGCCCCAAAACGGCCCAAGAGGGCCCCAAGACGGCCCCAAGAGGCCCCCAAGACGGCACAGGAAGCCTTTAAGACGCCCAAGATGGACCTCCAAGACGGCCCTGGAGCATTCCAAGAAGGCCCCAAATCGGCCCATAGAGGCCCCCCAAACGGCTTCCGACGGCGTCAGACGGACTGGGAGCCCACCAAGACGGCCGAACATGGCCCTAAGATGGCCCAAGACGGCCCAAAAGGCCTCCAAGAGGGCCTCCAGGAAGGCCCGAAAGGCCAAAATCATTGATTTCCCATTGGTTTTTGAAGGATTGTGGCATTTGCTTTTTGTTCTGCCTTCCGACGGCCCGAGACGGCCCAAGTGCCCCCAAAGATCGCCCAAGAGGCCCAAGACACGGCCCCAAGAGGCCCCCAAGACGGCCCAAGAGGTCTCCAAGACGCTCAAGATGGCCTCCAAGACGGCCCAAGAGCCCTCCAACACGTCCCCCAAGAAGGCCCGAAAGGGTCAAAATGGCCTCCAGACGGCCAAGATGACCTTCAAGATGCCCACGTGTTCCCCGAAGGCTTTCCAAACCGATTCGGGGAACACATGGTCCGATAGCTTGGCAGGTCTGGCCTCAACGTTCGGCCACATAGGCGCTTCCAAAAAGGCAGAGGGCGGCGGTGATTCGCCGTAGGCGTCTTCGATCCGCCGCCCCCTTTTGATTTATCAAAGGCGTGCCTGGCGTGCCAGGTTATATGGCTTTTGGTTTTGGTTCTTTTTCCAAAAGAACTCCCCCTGGGGCTTCGGCCCGTCCCGCCGTGGTCCCGGGAGATTCCCGACAATCCATCCGTCAATGCCTTTGTTGCCCCAAGTTGGCCCAAGATGGCCTCCAAGACGGCCAAGATGGCCCAGGATGGCCTCCAAGATGCCTCCAAGACAGCCAAGGCCCGAAAAGGCCAAAAACATAGATTTCCCATGAGTTTTGTTAAAGGATCGTGGCATTTGCTTTTAATTCTGCCTTCCGACGGCCCGAGACGGCCCAAGGGGCCTCCAAGAGGTCCTCCAGGAGGGCCCGAAGAGGCAAAAAACATTCATTGTCCTTAGGTTGCTGGGGAATTTTGGCATTTGCTTCTTCTCGGCATTCCGACGGCTCAAGACGGCCCAAAAGGCCCCCACGATCGCCCACGAGGCCTCCAAGATGGCCCCATGACGGCCCAAAAGGCCCCCAAGACGGCCCAAATAGGGCGCGGCCTCCAAGACGGCCAGAATGGCCTCCAAGACGGCTAAGATGGCCCCAAAATGCCTCCAAATCGACCCAAGATGCACCCAATACGGGCTCAGATGGCATCAAGATGGCCCAAGACGGCCCAAACGGCCCCCAAGAGGCCTCCAAGACGGCCCAAAAGGCGTCCAGTAGGTCTTCCAGGAGGGCACGAAGAGGCCAAAATCATTGATTGTCCTTAGGTGTTTGAAAGATTGTGGCATTTGCTTCTTCTCGGCATTCCGACGGCTCAAGACGGCGCAAGAGGCCCCCAAGATCGCCCAAGAGGCCTCCAAGATGGTCCCATGACGGCCTGAAAGGCCCCCAAGACGGCCCCAAGAGGGCCCCAAAACGGCCCAAGAGGCCTCTAAGACGCCCAAGATGGCCTCTACGAACCCCTGATATGCCCCAAGAGGGCCCCAAGACGACCCAGACAGGCCCCCAAGACGGCTTCCGACGGCGTCAGACAAGCCAGGAACGCCCCAAGACGGCCAAAGAGGCACCCTAGAAGCCCCCAAAGGCCCCAAAAAACCCTCCAAGAGGCCCCCAGGAAGCTCCCAGGAGGCCCCAAGAGTGCCCCAAGAGGCGCCCCCAAGAGGCCTCCTCCTCCTTTTTCCTCATCCTCCCGCTCCTCCTCTTCTTGCTCCCCCATGCGTTCCCAGAAGTCTTTCCAAACCGACTCGGGGAACAACTGGCCCGATAGCTTGGCCAAGCTCTGGCCCAGCTGTCGGCCACAGAGGCGCTTCCAAAGGGGCAGGGGGCGGCGGTGATTCGCCGTAGGCGTCTTCGATAACGCCAACGTCTCAATATGCGCTGATGACTCCTATCCGCCCCCGCATAATGTTCCCAGATGCGCCGAGGCAGCGCCGAGACGCACCGACGTGCCTCTGAAATATTCCATTATGATAGCGAACGGGCCGGCGGCAGGAAGCGTAGCCCTTACGGATAAACTCCGAAGTTCCAGGTTTACATTGCAGGTTATCCGCCCGTCGAACCACACCTTTTGAATCCGACTTTACACTTGTGGCGTACTGCCTGTCGTGACGGACGCTCGCCATGGGCTATACTCGGATAGCGCGGTGTTTCCAGAAACAGAAGCGTCTGCGCGGTTGTCGCGCGCGTCCTCAGCGGGCGCTCTGGCGCGTGCCGTCGCCACAGCTGTCGTTGGAAGACGACAGCTGGAGTTGACCGGGGACGGCGCCCACGCTGCTGTTGGGAGGTGCTGCTGGTCGGAGCTGCAGTACAGGAGCTCCACTGACGTGCTGGATTTCCAATGCCGTTCTGAAGACTGGGGACTGGCCATCCATGGTAGATAGAGAATAGCGTGGCCCTTCCAATTGATGGCCACCTCCTGTTCCCCGAGCACCGCCCATTCGGGACAGAAGCGCCGCGGGCGGCAGGTGGGAGTTGGCCGTCAGGTCCGAATGCCGACTCGGTGTCGTTGAACCGAACGGGGTCCGGTAGTGCATGGGTCGTGTGGCATAGGCGTGTCATCTGCTTGCGGTAACTGCTGCTGCAGTTGTGTCCATCGTCCCAGACCTTGTTACAGAGGTCGCGAGCCCCTTCCCACACCGCGTCCGAACCTGGAGGAGGACGGCGCGGTTGGGTCCAGCGTGCCAGTGGGCAGTGCACCAGCTGGACCTTGCTCCTGGGTGGTCCGCCGCACACGTGTTCGTGCGGCCACAAGGCCAGCCGTGTGCACTCGTTCCCCCATCCCTCGACAAGGGACCCCGTGGCGGCCTACAAGGGGCCAAATAATTGGTGCGAGGAGGGGGAGGGCAGGAACAGCGCGCGGCGCCGACAGGCGGGGGCCGTGGCTGGAGCAGCGGCCGCCGAGCCAGAAGGGCGCCAGGGTAGCACTGCAGGTGGCCTCCTTTCCCTGACTACCCACCAGACCACCCCAACCCAACCCGAAGACCCGAATTTCGGGTTGGGGGGGTAAGGGTTCCACATATGTTTTTTCGATGGTTCCCGACCCCCCCCCACTGGAAATCGAGGGTAAATCTGAGCCTTCGGGTTGGGTTGGGGTGGTTTGGTGGGTGGTGATTCCCTTCTGCTAAAGATCTTGCGCGCGTGCAGCGCGCGGCGCAAGTGCCACCCCCCCGTGCCGCATGCGGGGCCGACGGCGCCAAATCGGCAACGCGCGCCCATTGCAACAATGTAGCTCGGACGGTGGCGCCATGACGCATACACCCCCCCCTTGCGGCACGCTGTGGCACGACGACGCATGTGCAAGTCCAACACGCAGGAGCCCACCACAAACTACCCATCAGACCACACGCATGGGAATCGCCGCCCTAACAAGGGGAAACCAAGGATGCCGCCCGTCGCTGTCCTATTGGAAGCTTCCCTAAAAAAGGGACCCATGTGCAGGCTGGTCGGTTTATTGCCTGCCGCGCCGTGGTGCGCGAGCGAGATCCTCGAACACTTCGGCAACATCCGTTGATGTGGTAGGTTCGAGCGCAGATGCTTTGACTACTGGAAAGTGGACAGGGGCGACTGGGGCCACCCTTTGATGCCAGTTCGCGCGGGTGCGCCCCCCAGCGGCACCTTCTCGACGCAGAAACTCAGCCTGGTGCGGTCCTGCCCCTACATGACCCCAGTCGTTGTCCGTCGTCACCCGCAGCCTCTGGTCCCCATTCTCGCCCATCGTTGTGACCATCGTCATCGCTGTCATTGTTGCCATCGTACGATGCAACGTCAACATCAGCGCCATCACCCACGTCATCAACAGCACGGACAGATTCCGCATCCGCATATCCCACATCATCATAATCAGCATCAGCATCATCATCAGCATCATCATCATCATCATCATCATCAGCATCATCATCAGCAGCAGCATCAGCATCAGCATGAGCATCAGCGTCAGCATCAGCATCATCAGCATCATCAGCATCATCATCCTCATCATCCTCATCATCCTCATCATCATCATCATCATCATCATCACCGTCATCGTCATCATCATCATCATCATCATCATCATCATCATCATCATCATCATCATCATCATCATCGTCGCCATCACCATCAGCATCATCATCAGCAGCAGCACCATCATCATCATCATCATCATCATCATCATCATCGTCATCATCATCATCATCACCATCAGCATCATTATCAGCATGATCGTCATCATCATCATCACCATCGTCACAATCATAATCATCATCATCATCATCATCCTGATCATCGTCATCATCATCAGCATCATCATCGTCATCATCACCAGAATCATCATCAGCCTAATCATCAGAATCATCACCACCATCATCATCATCATCATCATCGTCATCATCATCACCATCATCATCATCGTCATCATCATCGTCATCAGCATCATCCTCATAATCAGAATCCGCATATCCCACCACATCATCATCATCATCAGCATCAGCATCATCAGCATCAGCCATCAGCATCATCATCGTGCTCATCATCATCGTCGTCATCATCACCATAATCATCATCATCGTCATCATCAGCATCATCATAATCAGCATCAGTATCATCCTCATCATCATAATCATCGTCATCGTCATCATCATCGTCATCATCACCATCACAATCCTCATCAACAGCAGCAGCAGCATCAGCACCATCCTCATCCTCATCCCAAACCCCATCCTCATCATACTCATCCTCATCACTCTCGTCACCATCCGCATCAACATCATCATCATCATCATCATCAGCAGCAGCAGCAGCAGCAGAAGCAGCAGCCTCAGCGTCAGGTCATCACCACCATGTACCTCCTGTTATTCATAGCCCACCGTGTCCTGCTCTGAGTAACTGCAACGCCGATTGGAAGCATCATCAGGCTGCTACCATACTAGCGTTGCTGCTGTCAGCGCTAACACTGCGAATGACATTTAGACGACTGATGTTCGGAATGCTGCGCCAAACTACTGCGACCGCTGCACTGCTAGTAATGACATCAGCGAATCCTTCCAGCTCTTGAGCCGCCGAGCCGCCGGGGAAATTATGATGACACTGATTATTGGCATTGCTGGTCACTAGCATGTGTGCTTCGACTCCTAGGGGATTATTGGAACATGGACGAGGATGATCATGAGGGAGGAAGGAAGTGCGGGGGAAGGGGGGAGAAGTAAGAGGAGGACAGGCAGAGGGAGGAGGAAGGAAAGGGAGGGGGGAGCAGTGGAAACAAACATTGAACCGGGATCGCAAGATGTCCTATAAAGCATGCGCTGCCGAAGAAAGCCCGAAGAGTACCTGAGAGGCTCACAGAATTGACGGCGCGGCCGAATCTCTACGCTGGGACTCTGACCGGGTCCTTTCCGAGATCTGCCGGTGGAAAACGCGCAGCCGAGCGGGAGAGGCGTGCCTGATGAGTCGACATCATCCAGTCCACCGTGTCTGCTCGCAAGTCGGCCTGCGGACCGATGGCGAGCGGCGACCGACGCACGCCAGTGCCCGCGCGGACATCAGACTCCCTTCCTTGACAATAAGCAGCGGCGGCGCTGCAGCGCTCCTCGAAAACAATCCTCCTCCGGTCTTTCCTCATCTTTTCTTCTTACCATTACTATGATGATGTTGACTACTACGACTACTACTACTACTACTACTACTACTACTACTACTACTACTACTACTACTACTACTACTAGTACTACTGCTGCTACTGCTGCTGCTGCTGCTACTACTGCTACTACTGCTACTACTGCTACTACTGCTGCTACTACTACTACTACTACTACTACTACTACTACGACCTACGACCTACTACGACCTACTACGACCTACTACGACCTACTACGACCTACTACGACCTACTACGACCTACTACGACCTACTACGACCTACTACCTACTATCGACTACTACTGCTGCTAATACTACTACTACTACTACTACTACTACTACTACTACTACTACTACTACTACTACTACTACTACTACTGCTACTACTGCTACTACTGCTACTACTGCTACTACCTACTACTACACTACTACTACTACTACTACTACTACTACTACTACCTATACGACTACTCATTGTACTACAACTACTACACTACTACTACGACTACTACTACTCTACTACGACTACGACACTAAGACTACGACTACGACTGCGACTACGACTACTACGACTACTACTACTACTACTACTACTAACTACTACTACTACTATTACTACTCCAAATACTACTACTGTGGCTCCTACTACTACTACTACTAACTACTAACTACTACTACTACTACTACTACTAACTACTACTACTACTACTACTACTACTACTACTACTACTACTACGACGACTACTACTACTACTACTACTACTACTACGACTGCTACTACTACTACTGCTACTACTAAAACTACTACTACTACTACTACTACTACTACTACTACTACTACTACGACTACGACTACGACTACGACTACGACTGCGACTACGACTACGACTACGACTACGACTACGACTACGACTACGACTACGACTACGACTACGACTACTACTACTACTACTACTACTACTACTACTACTACTACTACTACTACTACTGGTATTCTCACTACGAACCGTCGTACTATTATTCCCCTTGGTAGTACTAAGATCATGTTCCTCCCTGGTGTTCTACTTATGTGCATGGTTAGTCATATTCGTATTACTTCTGGGACCCATATTAATGTTATTATCATTGGTATGGTTCATATGTTTCGTGGGTTCCTTCATTGATTGTTGTTATTTATAGTTTTCCTTGTTTAAGCGTCGCAGTATTATTGTTACCTTTAACATCAGTATTATGTGGATTGGCTCGCGTTCTTGTTACTAGTCGCATTACTAGTAGTACTGATATTGCTCAAAATCCGCCGATCCGGCGTGTGAGTTTCAAGGAGTCTCAGCTACAGCCTCGAGGCTGAGCCTCAGCCTCTGGGGGGGTTGCCGGGGTGGCTCTGCCGGGGAAGGGGGGGTTGGGGGGGGGAGGGTGCGAGTTTCCGGCGGATGCGTTTTTTTACACCCCTCACAAGGATCGTGGCCTCCGAGGGGGTTCCGAACTCGAGTACCACCCCTCCCGCACCAAGAGGCTCCGAGGAGGCCTCCAAGAGGCCCCAAGGGGCGCAGAAGAGGCCCCCAAGAAGCCCCAAGAGGCTCCCAAGAGACCCCCAAGAGGCCCTCTAGTGGCCCCAAGAGGCCCAAGAGGCCCCCAAGAAGCCCCAAGAGGCGCCCAAGAGGCCCCCAGAAGTCCCAGCCAACCACGAGATCCCAACCAGCATCCATGAGGCCTCTGACCCACCACCCACGCACGGTGGCGGGATAGGCCGACGGCCACTGGATCCGCCGCCCCCTGTGGTCTTGCCACAGGGGTGCACGGCGTGCTGGACGTTTCAGGTTTTGGTTTTGGTTCTTTTTCTAAAAGAACTCCCCAGTGGGCTTCGGCCCGTCCCGCCGGCCACCCGTAAGTTTCCGAAAATCCATCTGTCAATGCCTTTGTTGCCCCAACTTGGCCCAAGATGGCCTCCAAGACGGCCAAGATGGCCCAAGATGGCCTCCAAGATGCCTCCAAGACGGCCAAGATGGCCTCCAAGACGGGTAAGATGGCTCCAAGATGCCTCCAAGACGGCCCAAGATGCCCTCCAAGACGGCCAAGATGGCCCCAAGATGCCTCCAAGATGGCCCAAGAGGCCTCCAAGACGTTCTCCAGGAGAGCCCGAAGAGGCCAAAATCATTGGTTTTCCTTAGGTTTTTGAAGGTTTTTTGCGTTTTCTTCTTTTCGGCCTTCCGACGGCCCAAGAGGCCCCCAAGATCGCCCAAGAGGCCTCCAAGAAGGCCCTATGACGGCCCAAGGGCCCCCCAAGACGGCCCCAAGAGCGCCCCAAGACGGCCCAAGAGGCCTCCAAGACGCCCAACATGGCCTCCAAGACGGCCCTGAAGCGCCCCAAGAGGGCCCCAAGACGGCCCAGAGAGGCCCCCAAGACGGCTCCAGACGGCGTCAGACGGACCAGGAACGCCCTAAGACGGCCAAAGAGACCCCCAGGAAGCCCCCAAAGGCCCCCAAGAGGCCCAAGGAGGCCCCCAAGATGCCTCCAAGAGGCCTCGAAGAGGCCCCCAAGAAGCCCCCAACAGACCCCAAGGGTGCCCCAAGAGACTCCTAACAACCCTCATCCTCCTACTCTATTTCTTCCTCTTCCTCTTCCTGTTCATAATCATTATCTCCCATGTGTTCCCCGAAAGCTTTCCAAACCGACTCGGGGAACTCATGGTCCGATAGCTTGGCCAAGCTCTAATCCAACTTTCGGCCACATCGGCGTCTCCAAAAAGGCAGGGGGCGGCGGTGATTCGCCGTAGGCGTCTTCGATAAATGCTGAGTGAGAGGAGGGGAGGGAAAAAGAGAGGAGGGACGAGGGCGAAGAAGGATCACATCAGTCGGAGCGCCCCGGATCGGCGGCACTGGCCGAAGGCCACTACAATACTATTTAATACACATAGTAGTCTTTGTATTATCATAACTGGTATTATGTATCGTTGTCAATAGCACTACGAATGTGTCCCTTCTTCTTATCATTAGCATGTTTACGTTACTGCTCCTTCTTCTTGAAATACTTAACATGATTCCTCATATTCTTACATCTTCTCGTCCTCATCCTCCTCTTCCTCTTCATCCTCCTCCTCATCCTGCCCATGCTCCTCCTCCTCCTCCTCCTCCTCTTCCTCTTCCCTTCCCCCCTAGCCTATTTTTCAATATTGATGAGCAGTGCGAAATGCGCATTTCGCCGTGGCGCCCCCCCCCCACACACTTCTTCCTTCATCTTCTGTTGCGTTCCCTTTTCCTCCTCCTTACCTCCGCATTTCTAAGATTCTAGGAATGACTGCCACGCGGCTTCAACATAAAACTGGAACGCCCCAAACCGCATACATATGTCTGCCATGATCACCACGCTATTCCGCTCAGCACTCCTACTCATGCAAGTCAACACCACCAGGAGCGCGTCATTAGCAATAACTCCGTCCTCATCACCATCATCAGCACCATCATCATCACCACTGTCGACAACACCATCACCACCACCAACACCATCATGTTCACGACCCTCATCGTCGCCAGCTTCCTGTTCACGTTCATGATCACGGTCATGCCTTCCGCAACCATCACCACCAACCCCACCACCATCAACACGACAGAACCATCGTCACGACCGCCACACCATCGGCAGCCTCACCGTCCTCGCCGCCATCGTCGCCTAGTTTGGTGATCGCCACCACCACCACCGCCGCCACCACTATCATCTTTCACAGAGACACTCGTCCCTCCTGTCCCGACAGTCTTTTTCTTTCTTGGCCCGCGGACGCAAAAACGCGCAAGGAGCCGGTGGAGCACACGGCCGGGCGAACCGAAGCGACGTTACGGCACAGAGGCGCGGAAGCACTGGAGGGGCGGAAGAGAACTGGCGGCGCGCAGAAGGGGGGAGGGGGAGGGGGGAAGGCTTCTTAGGAGGAGGCTGCTTCCTAGAAGGCGCGGTCCTTACATTTACAGACAAGGAGCTCGCCTTCTAAGAAGCAGGGGTGCTTCAAAGAAGCCTTCCCCCCTCCCCCATACCCCCTCTGCGCGCCGCCAGGAGAATGAGGCCGGCCAGAGCATGCCGGTTTTCACGGACGTGCCGAAAACGCGCAGCCGCACGGAGGAGTCCGCGTGGAACGCGCAGGCCACGAGGGGGAAGACCCTGCGGCAGTGCCGAGGCGGGGAGCCCGCGAGGACCCCCGTGTCCCCACAGTCCCCCATGGCAGTCTATTTTGGTCAACGGGCTCGCGAGGCGGGTCGAAGGCCGTCCGAACACGAGTCGGGCCGCGACTGGGCAGCAGGAAGAGAAAGGCGAGCGAAGCGAGCGAGCGGGCAGCCACTCAGAAGGAGAGCCAGAGCTGCCCCATCGCAGTCTACGCGGGCGAACGATCGATCGAGCGCGCGCGGAGCATCGGCCGGGCTGGGCACGTCGAGGCCGATCGGGGCCAGGAGCGGGCCCCCGCCTCCACGGAGTGCTGGCCGGCCGCCGAGCGCATGTCCGCCTCGCCGAAGCTCCGGCGCGCCTGGGCAGAGGGCCGCCACGGCCCAGGAGGCGAGGGGGAGAGGGAGGGAGATGGGGGAAGGTTTGGGTCGGGCATGTCATCTCCTACAAGCGGACTTTTGGAGGAGACATGAAAAACTAGTCAGGATTATTCTGGCGAAGGACCCAACCATACGCAGTTGTGACCACCGCAAGTGTGGATGTCCGCCGACCCCTTGTGGGTCTCTAGGCGTGTGAGATTATCCCCCCCCAGGGACCCCAAACCGGCAATTCGACCCGCCCCCCCCCCCTCGCCCAGCGCGACCCCGGACCGAACGCGCCACGGGGGAGCGGAGGGTTCCAAAACTGGCCATGAAGGCACCAGAACGCTCCCCAGACTGTCCTAGGGGGCCACGATTCGCCGAAACATGGCCCTGGACGCCCACGATGGCCTCCAGGCGGCCTCCGAAGCTGCCAAGACGCCCCAAAACGCCCCCAAGATGCGCCCCAAAAGGGCCCCAAGAAACAAAAAATCGTCCCATTCCCTTCGAAAAACAAGCATTTTTCGCATGCTCGCCTATTCGATTTTCACAACGTCCCAGACGGGCAAAGAAACCTTCAAGATCGCCCCCAGACAGCCAAAGGAGCCCCCAAGAAGGGTCGAAGAGGGTCCAACAACAGCCCCCGAAGCCCCCAAGACAGCCCAAGAGGGCCCCCAGACGGCCCCAAGACGACACCTGTTCGAGCCTTCGGCCCCAAGACACCCCCAGCCTGCCCCAAGAGCAGCCCAAGAGGCCCTGAGGGACCCCCAAAAGAACCTCAAAGGCCTCCAAGAAGCACCCAGGAAGCCCCAAAGAGGCCCCAAAACTTGGCCCAAGATGCCTCGAGGCGGCCGGATATGTCCTGCAGACAAGCCAAGATGCCACCAAGAGGCCACAAAAGAGCACCAAGAGGTACGATAACAGCAACGAAGCAACAGGAACGATGTCGAGCGCCGTGTCATGATTCGGACAAGCCTCATGAAATGCAGTCCTGGAGGGGCAGTATTGTATGTAGGGGTCGGCGGATGTGGCGTAAGCCTATAGAATCTTCCTCGCTGGTGATCCCTATGGGGCCACGAACCATGCGAGGGGTGTGCCGACATGTGTGGCGGGGTACACAACACGAACGGAAACGATAGGCCTGACCACGGGGGACTGAGCGCGGGTGAGACTGAGCGCGAGCGCGTCTGATTGTGATTGAGTCAGCGTGCGAGTAAGTCTATGTGCATGAATGCGAGCATGGATACGCCTGGCGTGAATGCATATGACTGTGAATACTGGGCGTGGCGGGGGCCTAACGGGCCACGAAGCGTGTGAGAGGCGTACTGGGTGTGGCGGACGCATGCGGGCCACCCCCACTGGCCGCAGGTGGAACTCCCTGTGGGGCCACGAAACACTGTACTGGGTGTGGCGGACGCATGTGGCCACCCCTACTGGGGCCTCCGATGGAGCTCCCTACGGGGCCACGAAACGCTGTACTGGGTGTGGCGGACGCATGTGGCCACCGCCATTGGGGCCGTCGGTCGAGCTCCCTATGGGGCCACGAAACGCTGTACTGGGTGTGGCGGACGCATGTGGCCACCCCCACTGGGCTTTCTGTGGACCTCCCCATGGGACCACGAAGCGCTGTACTGGGTGTGGCGGACGCATGTGGCCACCCCCACTGGGGCCTTAGGTGGAGCTCCCTAGAAGGCCACGGAACGTGTGAAGGGTGTGCCGACATGGGTGTTGCGGACGCATGTGGCCACCGCCATTGGGGCCGTCGGTTGAGCTCCCTATGAGGCCACGAAACGCTGTACTGGGTGTGGCGGACGCATGCGGACGCCACCATTGGGCCCTTCGATTGAGCTCCCTATCGGGCCACGGAACGCTGTACTGGATGTGGCGGACGCATGTGGCCACCGCCAGTGGGGCCGTCGGTGGAGCTCCCGATGGGGCCACGAAACGCTGTACTGGGTGTGGCGGACGCATGTGGCCACCCCTACAGGGGCCTTCGATGGAGCTCCTTATGCGGCCACGAAACGCTGTAAGGGGTGTGGCGGACGCATGTGGCCACCCCCGTTGGGGCCGTCGGTCGAGCTCTCTATGGGGCCACGAAACGCTGTAGTGGGTGTGGCGGACGCATGTTGCCACCCCCACTGGGGCCTTAGGTGGAGCTCCCTATGGGGCCACGAAACGTGTGAGGGGTGATGATCGTGGCGATGATGCGGATGATGGGGAGAGGGAGGGGGGGCAGCGGAAGGAGACGCGGGGCTATCGATGTCTCTCTTCCAAACGAGGACCCAACACCACAGGATGGTCGGGAAAACATACTTGTTGCATGATGGGAAGAGCAGGAAAAATCCTCTCCAGACTACGCTTTGACTATTCTTGAATATTCTTCCTGCAGAGGTACATTCACGACCCAAGGGAAGGCGGCAGGAGGAGGGAGAGGAGAGGAGGGCAAGGTAGGTACACTGGCGCGATGCCTGACATCCTGCCCCTCCCACCCATCCCTTCCCGTTTCACTGATCGTCTCTCTATCCGCCGGCGGGTCGTAGCGGACCTGGAACCCCCCTCTGGACCCCGATCGAGTGGTGCGCAGTCAGCAAAAAAGAAATTCGAATTATCCGCCTCCGTGCCTGTGGGCAAGGAGTGGGCGCGTTGGGGGGAGCTCCCGAGCGAGGTGAACCCCACCCTCCCCCTCAGGAATCGTGGGGGGTAGGGGGGCAGGGTTCGCATGTGGCCCCCTGCGTGTCCTCAGGCCCGTTGCCTACGTAACCTCACTCCCCTGCGCCTCGATCCTCACTCCCGAAGAGTCTCCCGAGAGGCCCGGGCCCCTCGCTCCCAGATCTCCCGGGGCCCGGCGCGTGCCCCCCCTGGGGCTTCCCGCGTGCCCCCTTAAGGGGGCCGCATGCGAACGCTGCCCCTTACCCCCACGATTTCGGAGATTTCGGAGGGGGAGGGGGGGGTTCACCTCGCTCGGGAGCTCCCGAGTGGAGTGAACCCCACCCTCCCCCTCAGAAATCGTGGGGAGCTCCCGAGTGGAGTGAACCCCACCCTCCCCCTCAGAAATCGTGGGGAGCTCCCGAGTGGAGTGAACCCCACCCTCCCCCTCAGAAATCGTGGGGGGTGGGGGTAGAGTTCGCGTGTGGCCCCCTACCCCTGGGGCTCTGGGAGGCACGAACGGCGCGGGAACTGCTCGGGCCTGCGAGGGCTCCAAAGACGGGCCGCGAGGGCCCCAAAGAGAGGCCCCGAAGGTGGCCCGAGAGGGCTCCGAGTCGCCGAAGGATCGGCCCAAGGCGCCCAAGAGCTCGGACCCGACATGCCGCCACGCTGGCTCCGGGCAGGCTGCGCGGTCCGGCGGAAGGGGACGAGGAGGGGAGAAGCAAGCAGACGACGACGAACGCCCAGGCGGGAGGCCAGGGCCGGCGGGGCGGGCGGGCAGGCAGAAAACGGGCCAGGCGGAAACAGCAGGAGGAAAGGAAAGGGAGGGAAGCAACGAGCAAGGTGTCGTCGAGACGGCCGAAGAGACCTCCGAGACGCCCCAGGAGGCCTCCAAGAGGACCCCCAAGAGAGCCCCCAGAGGCAAAAATCATTGGTTTTCCGTAGGTTTTTGGCGGATTGGGGCGTTCTCGCCTTTTCGGCTTCCCGACGCTCCCAGACGGCACTGGAGGCCTCCAAGATCGCCCCAAGACGACCCAAGAGGCCTCCAAGAGGGCCCCAAAACTGCCCAATAGGGCCCCAAGACGGCCCAAGAGGCACCCAAAACAACCCAAGAGGGGCCCAAGACGGCCCCAAAAGGAACCCAGAACAGGGAGCACAAACCGAAAATCCAAGCCTTCCGCCCGAAGAGACCCCCAGGAGGCCCAAGGGGCGCCCGGGAGCCCCACGAGGCCCCCAAGAGGCCAAAAAGAGGCCCCAAGAGGCCCCAAAAGAGGTCCCAAGAGGCGTCCAAACTGCCTCCAAGAGGCCCCCGAAAGGCCCCCCACGAGATCCCAACGAACATCCAATAAGCTTCTTACCCATGACCCAGGCACGTTAGCGGGATGGGCCGAAGGCCAGCAGATCCGCGGCCCCCTCTGGGCTTGCCACAGGGGTGCCTGGCGGTCTGAATCCTAGACTGGGCTTGGTTCCAATTCTTTTCCGAAAGAGCTCGGCCCAGCGCGCCCGGCACCTGGAAGGGACCGCAAACAACCTCAACGTCCGGAAAAAATCCCCGAGGCGGCTCCAGATGGCCTCCAAGAGGGCAGGATGGCCTCCAAGTTCGCCCAAGAGGGTCCAAGATGGCCTCCAAAACGGCCCAGGAGGACCAAGATACCTCCTGGTCCGCCCAAGAAGCCTCCAAGACGGGCCAAGACGGCCCAAGAGGCCCCGAAGAGGCCTCCAAGACAGCCCAAGAGGCCTCCAAGGGGTGCTCCAAGAGGGCCCGAAGAGGCCCGGATCATTCATGTTCCTTACGTTCTTGAAGGATTTGGGCATTTGCTTCTTGTCGGCCTTCCAATTCCGACGGCCCGAGACGGCCCAAGAGCCCCCAAAGATCGCCCCAAGATCGCCCAAGAGGCCTCCACGATGGCCCCAGAACAGCCCAAGAGGCCTCCACGACGACCCCAAGAAGGAGGGCTCCAAGATGGCCCCAGAGGCCTCCAAGACGCCCAAGATGGCCTCCAAGACTGGCCTGGCCTGGAGCACCCTACAAGGCCCCAGAACGGCTTAAGAGGCCCCCAAGACGGCCCCAAGAAGCCCCAAGACGGCCCACGAGGCCTCCAAGACGCCTAAGATGGCCCCCAAGACGGCCCTGGAGCACCCCAAGAAGGCCCCAAGTCGGCCCAAAGAGCCCCCAAGACTGCTTCCGACGGCGTCAGACGGGCCAGGAGGCCACCAAGAGGCCCTCAAGACGCCCAAGATGGCCCCCAGACGGCCCTGGAGCACCCCAAGAGGGCCCCAAGTCGGCCCAGAGAGGCTCCCAAGACTGCTTCCGACCGCGTCAGACGGGCCAGGAGGCCACCAAGAATCCCAAACA